GTAGGCCTCTAGCGCTATATAAAGTTGCTAGTCTATAGATATAGTATATTTACCTAGCTACTTAAGAAACCTATAATAGTAATAGCTATTGCTTATAACCTTTAGCTAAGACAGCAGCATATTCGCCCGCCTTTATCTATTAGTTTTAGACTAGAACTTATAACTGTTTTTAGATAACCTTGCCTAAGACACTACCTTATTATCTATAGACTAAGACGTAGATAGGCTAATAGATATATTAACGTTACTAGGCGTTACTATCTATAAGAGTCTACTAGCTACGCGCAAAGATAGAAGCTAATAATAAGACTATTGCACTTAAGCTAGAAGCTTTAGCTTTAGAACTACTATAACGTTTAGTTAATTAACTCTATTATAGTTAAAGAGCTAGTACAGAAGAAAGATAAATGCTTAGCTAGTATACCTAGCGCCTCTCTCTCTGCAACTAATTTGCTGCTATAGGTCTATAATACTCTTAGTAATTAGTATATTCTACGTTACAACTCTTATAATATCTAGTAGGTTTATATCTATTCTAAGAGACGTTATTGCAAAGATAATATAGATATAAGAAGTAGAATACTTAAACTTATTATACGTTGCGTCTTTATTATACTGCGTAATATAAGTAGTATACGTCTTAACTACGTTAAATACGCACTAATCTCTAGCTAATAGGTTAGTGCTATAGTGTTAATTATCTAGAAAGTTCTTTATTATATATATAAGCATTATTATAGCCTATTCTATAGCGTTCTAGAGTTAGGTTCTTCTATTAATAAAGATAATTATCTTAGGCTATATTATAGGTGTAGCAGCCTCTCTAGTTACAAATAGTAGTAGTAAGAAGAAAAGAAGATTCTATAATATAGACTTACTAGATAGTATCTCTATAATAGTTATAAACGCGTTAGGCCTATTAATAGTTATTTAAATTAACTTAGTCTTATAAGTATTACGCTCTAGATAGTAGAAACTAGTAGTGTCTAATACCTGCTTAGTAGAGTTAAAGTCTAACGTAGCTAAATAACTAAACTAATTAACATTCTACGTAAGAATACTATAGAGTTTACCTAGCTACGTAAAAGCAGAATAGAATGCTTTTTACTAGATAATAAAATAGTACTTGTTAATTATAATAATTCTAATCTGCGACTAGAAGGTTATGTCTTTTAACGTAGTCTAGAAGATATAACTAGATACCTACTTAGGCTCTATTAATATATAAGTATACTTACTATAGATAATCTTATTAATAAGCTTATAAGACTAAGTATAAGTTCTTGCGTTAACTAAGTAAGGTCTTACGCTATTAAAACAATGTATATTACTAAGCTACTTGTCTTCTAGCTTAGAGAGTAGTATTAACTATAGTGTAATCTTTCTAGTTAACACTAAATACGCGTAGAAGATAAGGCTCTTACTAAAGCTAGTTATAGTAATTAATAACACGTTGCCTCTTATATAGATAAGACGCTAAAGAGCGCGTACTTACTTATTATATAGTTTAAGTACCTTACTACTATAACTATAGAATAGCACACGCCTTAAATAATACTAAATAACCTACTTTTATAATACTATATATTATTTCTATTTTACGTTCTCTACTAGTAAAGAAAGTTTCTCTAATTCTATATCTAGAATTATAGTAATACGTTAATTAATTAGAAGCGTAGCTTACCTAATTACTGCACGCTTAGGCGCAGTAACAGCATAACTCTAGTACTATCTACTATATTTATCTACTTTTTACTTTATCTTACACTTTACTATAGCTACTTTATAGAAATAACTAGCTATAAAAAGTTACTAGTAGTCTAAAAGACTTTATAGAAGTTTACAGAAGTTACTAGTAGTCTAAAGAACTTTACAGAAGTTTATAGAAGTCTAAGAAAGTTACTACTATATAGCTAGTAGCTAATCTACCTACTATAAGCCTTAGTAGCTAGCTATTAGCCTAGTAGTTTATAGAAGTCTATAGTGTTCTACAATACTATAACGTCTCTATTAGAGCACTACAGCACTGCTATACGCAATACTATAACACTATAACACTATAATACTATAATACTATAATACTATAATATAACGCGTATAGTAGACGTAACTATAACTAGTATAAAAGTTTATAGAAGGTTGTAGAGCTTTACAAAACTTTATAGAGCTTTATAGAAGTTTTAGCGTAGGTATAAAGTAAGTAGAACGTAGTAGGTAGATTAGTAAGACGTAATTACGCTAAAGAGCTAAAATATTATCTTTTGTAACACTATACTTCTCTATTAACACTATACGTAAATTAGACCTAATAAATATAATAGTATTAAGAAAAACTTATGCTTTTTATTATATCTAACACTATAATAAGGTAAGATAGTAGCGTTATAGTGCTAATAAATAAACTTTACTAAAGTTATAATTTAAAATGCCTATTTACTAAAAGTTCTACTATTTTTTCTTAAACGCTCTATAAAAGCCTTACTACAAGTATTATATAATTAGCTCTTATTAGCTAAGAAGTTTAGTTTATACGCTAGCTCTATAATTAGCTAAGAAGTTTTTAGAAGCTGCAAGGACTTGTAAGCGAGGTTTTTTGCGGGGCGTCTAATTCATAAGATAAGTTAATGTCACGAAGCGGGGCCTCTCGTCACGTGCAAGCCACCGTCATGGGTGAACCATGCTGTGAGGCTTTACCTACAACCGCGCCCTTCAAATATCCCTGAAATTGAGACTTTTGTAGCACAGGCTGTTTGCGTCAACTGTAGTACTATACGAAACGTATTAACAGCTTCCATACGCCTTGGGTATGATGTTGATCATGACGCGTAGGTCACCCATAGATCACCCGTGCCTTCGTACCCCTGAACACTCTTTTCATGCTATTGCTAAGAGTCCACAATTCCTTGCACCCACTCAATGTCCTCCCAAGTTGCCTCCCAGATGTTGAGGACTGTCATTGTCCATTCCTTATCCTCGCGCTTCATGGTGCCAATGCAGCGGCAGATCCGCCCTTGCTGTAACAGTCTTCTGCTGTCGTACTCGAAGAGCTGCACCGACTTCCAGATAGCAGTATTATACACTGCCTTGATGTAAGGTGGCTTGGCGTGGAAGAGATCGCAGAAAGTGAACTGCTGCTCTGTGACGGTCCGCTCCGAAGCAAGCACTCTGGCATACATCTCAATCATGATGTGCTTCCCTGATTTGGATGCCTGACAGCTTTGGTTGATCACTTCACCGATACGGAAACATGTTCTGAGCAGTAGGTTTGACGAGAGCCCGATGATGGGTGAGCGATCACGGACAGCCTCTGGAAATGGTGGCCTGACAAATGGTTTGCGTATTTTCGATGAACCTAGATCGCCAGTTGCGGCTTGCAGGCGCGTCGTGAGAGTGACCGGGGAAGTGAACTGCTTTGACACGGGCTGATAGGTCTTCTTGTCAAGATTTCTTTCATCAAGTATGATAGGGGTATCCGCAGAGGTGCCGGGAGGGTGATGCAGTCTGTCATCGTCCCTGTCCCCGGGCTGCACAGAGCGGTTCAAAGCAGTATTTGCAAGGTCAGAACATGCGTCGTCGATCTCAGATGTCAATGTGAGTAGGTCATCATCGTTGATGTCAAAGTCGAAGTCGTCTTGCGCAAGCATCGAGTTCTCCATCTGATGTGGTGCCAGTGATGCATCAAGTTGTTCAGGTTCACTGGTATCAAAGTCGTTATCGTCGAAATCAAACTCGCAGAGTGCGGTCGGATACTGCACAGGCAATGCGGCTACTGTATCTTGGCTAACATTTCGTATGGTTTCAGGACTCGCGAAACCAAGATCTGTCACATTGCAGGCTTGACTGATACGGTCCTGGTGTGAAGCCGCCGTTCCGTTGCCAGGTGTTGTCGACAGTTGTGTTTGCGCATCGTCAACAAATATGGACTGCGTTGTCGTCGACAGCGAAGCCTTAGGTCTAGAGGCCACGGAATTGCGTGCAGGTTTTGTTACCCGAAAGCTCTCCGATACTCGATGTTGTTCGGGGAGTCCGTTTCCTTCCAGATTCACGCGTCTGCCATCTGGTTTGTTCCCTTGGACGGCCAACCGAGGTCGCTTGCGTCGAGGTTTCGGAGGCGGGCTACTCGGCACTGCCGGCGAAGAAGCATATATTTTCAGATGCGTCGGCTCTTCTGCGCCACCAAGACCGAGATACCGTGCAACAGTAGAGTTGTGTCGCCTTCGGTCGTTGACGGCGGCTCTCCGCCGGGCCTGGTTCTGCTGCACGGGTGCCGCGGTTGACGGGGGAGGCGTCGAAAACTGCGTCGAGGGCTGATTGATGGCCGTGAAACTAGAATTTGACGAGCGAATGTGAGTGCATCTGCATACTTCAAGTTAGTTCAAGCGATATGAGATAAAAGCAACGTGTGGTGAGAAAAGGTGAGTGAGCGCGCGTCAGGTCTCTCACGCGTCATCACCAGTTCCTTCTCTCGTTGTCCACGTGTCCCCATCGTGATGCAGCGCGTTCGATGCATCCATGCTGACTCTATGCGTGAAGCGACACGATATAGAAGCGGAGTGAGAGATGAGGTGAAGAGGGTTGGTGTGGTGGGTCGCGACTTCCATGGTCCCTTACTCAGCCCAAAGCCACCCCACTGCGGGGGGCTTGCGCCCGACCAAACAACCATAGCTTCATCTTATCGCGTGCGCATAGGCAACCATTACTACTTAGACTTCCGCTACGAAGCTCTGCCACCAGCTCTGACTTCCTGCAAACCTTGCACCTCTCGTCAACACACGTTCCGTTGAACCCCGAGTGTTCTATTCTTATCTGTAACACCGGCTCTCTCCTTCCAGACCGACCCTCCGACCTTTCTCAGACCGTGGTGCAAACACCAGACCCTGATTCTGTCCAGATTCGTTCTGACAGCCAAGCAAACATCCTGTTCGGGGCGAATTCTTTTTCTCGCCTCCCAAATATAGCAGGTCTTACCCTGAAGGGTCAAACGAAGCGACAAACGTACGATGCCTGTAAGTTCTTCTTCAGACTCGTTTCTCCTTAAGAGCGTTCAAATAGCATGTTCTCTTCCGCAGCAGCCCCGTTTCATTCATCCTTCAAACCACCATTCCTACCATAGTTATGATTTCCCACGCTTCTTGGTATGACGGACAACCGCTTCTCTACGGAGAGACGCTTCGTAGAACTTCTTCTTCGTATAGCAGTGCATCTTCTGAACTGCAAGCACTTCCTTTATACCGCAAAAGTCTGTCATTGTCAAGCGAGTCGTCGGTCGAGGCGTCAATCGAACCCCCTCGCAAAACACTTCACCACCACAAGGACCCTAAAGCATATGCGGACCTTCCGATTTTCGAAAACCCTTGCCCGCTATGCTTCTTTGAACACTGTCACACGGTACTAAGAACATGGATCAAACGTAGAAGCACGCTTTCTCGGCTGTCACGGTCCAGATCGATCGATTGACAAGCGAGCAATACGAGGAGAATGTAAGTTGTTCTGTCAAGATTGCATCTCTCTTGCTAATTAGTCCAGGATGTCGGTGGTGTCGTTGATCTCATCGAGGTCATTCGCATCCAGGCATCTGGTCCTACGGAAGCAGCACGAGCTCTGCGAAAGAAGCTGTAAGCCAGATTCCCGCGCAACCACAATATGCACTAATAAGTCGGCAGCAAGTATGGCAATGTGCATCGCCAGATCCGCGCCCTTGTCATAATGGACGCTCTGATTCAGAATGCTGGAACCAGATTCCAGAAAGCGTTCGCAGATGAGCCACTTCTCGAGAGACTCCGCATCCTGGCAAGGGACGACACAGTCGATGCGGAAGTACGGCAGAAGGCCAACGTTTTGTTCCGAAGTTGGGCTGTCGCATACAAGGGAACGCCTGGCCTTGAGCGGATAGCTGCACTACACAAAGAACTTCCTCGTACCAAACGTCCTCAGCCACAACAATCTCGGATTGTGCGACAGCAAGATGCCGAAGCTGCGCGCGAGCGTGAGGAGCATTCGCAGTCTCCTCCTAGAAGCAGGCGACCGGAGCCACCCCATACGTCATCTTCACGGACGACCACACCTGTTGTACTCGGTGCTGGTACCCCTCTTCCAGCCACTTCGCTATTCAAGAGGGATAAGAAAGACAAGAAGAAGACCAAGGGGCAGCCGTTCAACCTCGAAAAGGAGAAGGGTCAGATGCTTGAGACGATGGCATCGGCAAACGTCGCCAGTACGAATCTGCTGAACGGCCTACAACTCATCAACCGAGAGCAACAGCGTGTCAGTGAGAACGCAGAAGTTATGCGACGCTTCGAGACGTGCAAGCAACTCCGTCGCCAGATCTTGCGCTACATTCACCTGGTCGAGTCTGAGCAGTACATTGGCGGTCTTCTCAACGCCAACGATGAGCTAGTCAAGGGCCTCATGGCTTTCGAGCTTATGGACAAGAGCATCGACGACGACAGCGATAGTGATAACGAAGAGCGTAACGTGTCTGCTGCTGAAGCTGCGATGGGTAATATGGGTCTGAATGAGTCTGCCCCTCCGAAGCCGCCTAGGCCCACGAGCATCCCCATGCCTCCGCAGCGCGTCGAGCCAGACAGTGAGCCAGAGGAGGATGAGGATGACCCGTTCGGAGACAGTAACGGTAAGATGAAGTCAAAACGCTCCCTCGAACCTAGCTAACGCGCTACAGCTGTCAAAACACCATTCGCAGAGAAGGGCCAACCGACTTGGAGAGACGTCTAAGCTATCAAAGACACGATACGGACACGACCTGCATGTTCAAGGCGAGACACGGTATTGGGCTTTCCTCATCTCATGTTTAGCAATACCCTTTCCTACAACTTTACCATCTAGATAGATCTCAATACAACATTTTCCCACCATCTGCCATGCATCTCCATCTTCTGCATGCCCCGCGCACGCCTCTGACCGAACGCGCGGCATTAGCCACGTTCACTGCCACGCGGGCGACGTCATGCAGCCCCTAGCGTCGGCCTGTCATTGGCCTAGCGCCACGCGCAGCATTGAACCAGGGCTGGATGCCCTCTGCGACCGTATTAATCTCCCCTTTGCCTCCTCGATAATATCACCTACTAACTCACGACGACCCTCACCTTCCACGCACCTTCATCGCATAAACTGTGAGTTCAGCCCTGATCTTGTGGCCGCGAACACCGCTAACGTCATCGCAGCGCAACTCCGTCATCTCTCTGAACCAACAGTCACGAGCCCGCGACCGCCATCCTCCGAGTCACAACACGTTGTAAACCCACTCGATCGTCGCATATTCATACTTCGCAATGCCTGCCTCTACCAACTCTGTTTCTTCGGCCGCCGGCTCGATCGTGAAGCCTCAGGGCGGAAAGTGCAGCTGCATCAGCACCGATGACTGCAGTTGCTGCTGCATCCCTTGCACCGTCATGTAAACGCGACGACAATATGAAGAGCCGCGTACGGCTTCGACCGACGATAGCATGTGCGCGTGCGGGAGCGGTGACAGACGGCACGCGCGAGCCGATGGGCACGATAAGGGAAGGATGGCTGGCGTAGGTGTTTTTGGGATATTTTGAGCGGCCTCATTAGGTATAGCGAAAGCGGTAGCATGCGCTCAAGGCAATGAGGCTTTGAAGGCCTTGATTTGGGGTTTGGAGTCTGCTGGAGTGTTGCATTGGATTGATGGCTTTATACCAATACCTACATTTCGAATTACAAACTACGTTCACACACAAAGTCTTGATCTGCCCAGCAATTATGACTCTACTATCGATCGATTTTTCTTGCCACCTTGGTCGCACATGAATATCCTAAACATACCTCATAGCAAGATACACGAGTACCAACGCCAAGCAGTCGCGTCTGAAGCTAGTCCGGCAGCCAGGCAAGCAGGGCTGAAGCATGGCAGTTGTGGCGCGCTGGCGCGATGACATGGCGTCACCTAAGTACGCCCGAAGCCTATTGCCTTGTAAACCTCATCTCTGACATCTTAACCCCATTCTCACCGTCGCAAACTTCTCCAGATCATATCTTTTCTTGTTGTACATATCGCGTTCTATTTGTAAGTCGGATTGCCATGGTTTGATGCATACGTTCGCTAATGGGTCTGATAGTGCTTGAGACGCCATCCCCCCTTGCGCACATCGAATCCTTCGTCTCCGCCCTTACGACTCCATTCGGTATCGCCTCGTCTCGCATCGCATTTATCCGCCGCGCAGTCTTCGCCGTAATCAGCAAATATGCCCGCGTCTACAACTTCGAGCACGACGTCCATCGTCAAGCCTGGTCCCGTCAAGGCGCCATGCTGGTGCGGTGACGATTGCCAGTGCTGCGTCATCCCATGCACCGTCATGTAAAACTCGACGATGGATAGAGGGACGATGAACATATATACCAGGGCGCTTCAGGAGTTACTTCGTTTGGAGATGTTGTTTGAGCATGCGCTTGGGAAAGAGCTGGATAAGAGGAGGAATGTGACGAGGCACGAATCACGCATCGCATTGCTTGGTATCTATTGAGCATCCTAGCGTTACATCATATCCTCAATACGGTTTTGTTTACAATCGTGAGCACGATCGTGGACTTGTCATGGAAGAAGATAGCAAAGAAGTGGAGGGTAAGAAGAAGAAAGAACGGTACAATTAAGTACCAAGCTATAGTCGCACTACATAGTGCCTTCGCTCATGCCACTGCAGGCGCCAGTGGCACGCGAAGAATTCCAAACTCCTGCGCCATGTCCTCCAAAGTATCGTTGTGTACTTGACCTAAGTCTCGCCCCTCATGATAGCCTTTGAGGGTTTGATTGTACAGGTCGTGCTGCATTCGCTGCCATTGAGTATCACCCAAAGCTGCGAGCTTCTTGGATATTGTATAGATAATCTGTGACAGGTTAGCAAAGATGCAGTATCAAACGACTTCCATTTACCTTTGCAGCCTTCTCCCGTGCCTGCTTATCCATTACCTTCTGAAGCTTCAACTCCCGCTGTAAGCTACTCTCGGCTGTAACTCCTTCCGCGACATCCAGGGGTGGAGCTTTGAGGGCCGCCTTCCCCTTCTCAGGCATCCTCAGAATAGCCAGACCTTCTAGAGTCTTGACGCGCGATAGCATCGTATATGCACTCCCACGAAACAGTGGCGAAGAAGCAACACTCTCCGCTAGATCCACAATGACCATCTCAAAGGTCTGCCCTTGACTCTTGTAGTCGGTGAGGGCATATGCAGGAGTGACTGGGAGCGATGTGAATCTATATCCAGACTCCTTTTTGGTGCGAGCGGAGGCACTCCTGGGAAAGATGGCGATACAGTTCTCTGGAAGTTCGACTCCTTCTGCGTAGTTGACTCGGGGGAGGTTGGCGTGATGTTCTTTCAACTCGACTACAACGTATTGCGGGCAATCTTCGAGCCTGAAAATGTTGTCATCAGAGGTATCAAAATGTTGATGTCGGTCCTCGTCTCTTTTGCTGAGACCTACGTGGCGAACCGTGCCTAGGGATCCGTTCACAACACCGACATTTGTGTGCATATTGCGGGTAATCATGACCGGCATCCCGACATGCAGAAGCAGAACGGGATCCATAGCATTGTGATCTTTGGGTCCAACTCGCTGGAGTATCGCGGCTTCTTTGGGAGAGCATGTTTTGGCCTTGCCACGTCTGCCTTTACCGGCCGCACTGCGGGTATACTGACATGTCCAGTTGAATAGGGTTTCTTTCCTAGCCTTCGAATGGACGATCGCGCGCTCTTCATTACATGCTCGTCGCATCGTATGCCTACGCACCAATATCATGGCGTCGCGGAATTTAGCCCTGTCATCAGGTCCAAGACGATCCAAGCGTCGACTTTCGAGCAGCTTTATCGTCGCATCGTCTACTTCCCGCTCGCGAACCTTGCGTAATGCCTCGATGAAGGGTTTTTGATTCGAACTTTGGCGCACGACCTCGTCGAGCGTAATGACCTCGGTGCGCTGATCCCATAAGATGTTGCTAGTTGGGTTCTTATTCCAAGCTAACTGCTTTGTACCCTTTTCCATCTTTTTACGGATGTCTTCATTCAGCATGTCATACACGTTACTGGCTGCCACGCATGGTAGTTGCAAGAAGTCGCCGAAGAACAGCATGTCGACATTGCCGAAAGGTATTTCACCGTCGACCGCGCCATTGTGTACGCCACCCTTCACGTTCGATAAAACCTCGTCGACCTCGAAGAGCTGTGGTTGTCCAACCATAGAGACTTCATCGACGATGACTGTGTTCACGAAGCGAACTCTGTTTTCAACGCTTTCGGATCTCCTAGCTGAGTTTGAAATCTCGTGCTCATCAAGTGTTGTTCCATCCGGGTTGTTAATCTGGTGAATAGCAAGTCCAAAGGCGCTATGTAGGGTCGTCCCCTCAATCTGGCTGGCAGCGATGCCCGTCGGCGCAGTGATAGCGAGGGTGTGGAGACAGTCCATGGCTTTGAACCACTCTCTTATCGCATTAATAACGTGAGTCTTGCCAGTACCGCCGACACCCGTAATGAGCATACGCCTAGCTTTATAGGACTGGGGGTTTTCCATTCGCTCTAGACAGGCGTCGACCACGAGAGCAAGTGCATAACTTTGCTTTAGGTTCAAACTTTTCGCCTGCTGAAGCTTGGCAAATGTCAGCCAACCGAATTCTGTCGGGTTTGTGGACGAGCTGGTCGTAGAGGTGTTGGACACGCCGATATGCCTCGTGTGGGGCACGTCCTTGTGACGCCGACTCTCCTGCACTTCGCCTCGGCTTTGTGCTTTCCGTATGGTCTGCTCCATTTGCTCATATGCTTTTTTGTTGGCCAACGCTGCTTTTCGACAACTATCCGTGAAGCGGGCACGACCTGTACGGTTGAAGCTAGTTCCAAGCGGTTGATCAAATCCAGGTATTGCGTTGGACTCCGGTTGATCAAACGCGCCCGCCGATCTTAACGCCTCCATGCCTTGAGCCTCCAGGCGAGTAGAGCCGGTATCAGCTTGGGCGTCAAGTTGTCTCAGAATCTGAGCCGTCTCATAGGCATGCTGTTCCCTAGTATCTGCGTCAAGCTCCCATTCGTTCTCCCCAGCGTCGCGTTCCGGATAATCGGGATCAGCCAGTTTACCAGCTTTCGCTCGCTCACGACGATCCTCTTTCGCCTGTCTGTCCATATCTCGCAGCATTTGAATGCGGCTCGTGACAAGCCTATTCTCCCGACTGTACACCGTCTCTTCAGCTTCGAAGCTTGCCAGAGCCTGCACCCAATCTTGGCCTCTTGTTCGCAAGTCCGTTGCTGTGCGCCACGGCTTCAAATATACGAGGAGCAGTTGCGCACGCTTCTCGAGCTTTGCCACATCTTCGCAATATTTGTCATGAAAAAATGCACCAAACGGGACTGGCGTGGCTTGCTTGCCGCGCTCGAACATGTAGTGTGTGTCGCGCAATGGGTGTGGCCATCGAAAGCAAGATCGAACATGTGCACGCGCTCCACCCTTGTTGGGTCTACCCGAAGCGGCCGGTAAGGGAGGATGCAGATGCTTCGTTTTTCTCTTGAACCAGGAGACGAATTGGAACAGCGACAGATGCTCAAGTCCTGCTCCACGATAGATGTAGTCCTGGACTGGGTTCCCGAAAACTAGTTTACCTTTCTTGTTGCGAAATACGTTATTGGTAGTCGTGTGCGTTGACTCGTCGTCGTTCTCCGCATGATCGTCAAAGTTTTGTGTGCCGCAGTCCACGTGGGCCGTCGAAGTTTCCAGATCA